AACTAATACACTATCAGAGTTTTATATATTTATACTTCTCATTCAACCACAGTTAAATTCACTCTATCTAGGAGGCTCAGTTTATATGGATAGTTTTTATTTTTTACAACAAGCTGCAATGAAAACAAGCAGAGATGAAATAAAAGTAACGACTTTCTACTTCTTGTCTTTTTATAAAATGTAAGAAGTAGAAAGTACAATTGTGCGAAAATGTAAGGAGTAGAAAATAGGCTGAAAAATGATTACTCAAGTACAGACACCCAAAAATTCTACTGAAGTACAGTAACAAAGTATTTGTACTTAGTTACTTTACAACTCTAATTTTATGTCATTTTAATGAGGAATTGTTTATGTCCTTATAAAGAGGAAACCTCAAATTATATTTGAATATTGAGATTTACCAGATAAAAAGAAACAACACTTTGCTAACTCACAGGGAAAATCTCAACATTTTAAGGTGTTTTTTTCTCAAAATCAGGGTTTTTTTGTTGCTACTGCTCAAAAAAGTGCTTCAAATTTTTTGTTTTAAGGTTAAATTACAGACAGTTCATTCAAATGATACATTAATAAGGCTTTTATTCATCATATTTTGACAAAATGCAATTTTTGTTAACATTTTAATCACAACACTATATTTGTCTTTTTCTCCATACACAACTTTTAGACTTATCCTTGTTTCGATGTGTTGGGTCACATTTGACCTGCTATAAGAAATGCAGCGTCAGCAGAACCACACGTCTCTGTCCAAACTGTACACACAGTTTGTCTGGACCAGGTCTCTGAAACCTTCAGATCTAAATTTGTGCTGCTTGTCTCACTAATAAAATGTGTCCGGAGCTGCAAAACAAGCTATGGCTGTGATTGTCAACTGCTGGTCCGTGAGCCTTTTCGAGGTCCTTTTGGGAAACTTTACGGTCAGTGGAGGTGACATTATAAAAATAAAAAAACATTATTTTATTATTATATTATTTATTATTATTAAACACATCAGGACAAATAAAAAGAACAGATTGGTGTAAATAAGAAAAATACTGTATATAGTTTATACCAAATTTCATCAAAACTAGTACAACTGAATTATTCAGGTATTTTTTTCTAATTATTATTATTATTATTATTATTATGTAGTCTTCTAATTGTTTAAAGGCATTTCTGATGGATTTGAGAGAAACAACAGGTTAGCATGAGCTAACATGTACTTTTTGTATCAGTATCAATCACATATTTACACACAACTTAGTTTCTGTTGTGTGTACACAAACCACACAAAAATTATTGTTATGTTTGGGTCATATTTTCAAAGAACCACTGCAGAGGGACCAAAGAACCACTGCAGAGGGACCAAAGGGCCACTGCAGAGGGACCAAAGAACCACTGCAGAGGGACCAAAG